GTGGACTATATGGAGGGAGAGAAACGAGAGATGTTTTGAGAATAGGAACAACAACTTGCAGGAAGTAAAGCTTAAGTGTATTTTGTTGTTCTGCTTTTGGTGTACAAATGTCTACTCCAATGAAACTGAGTCAATCATAGATGTTTTAGGATCCATTTAGATTTGGTTCAGTTTTTGGATAGATTTTACTCCTTTCTGCTTTTGTAAATATGGTTTTTCAGTACTACCTAAGTACTAAATGAAATACAAATGTTACTAGTTTCAAAAAAAATGGGGTGATGATAGACGATGATAACTCAAGAAAGTATAATGTGGGCTAGCATTTCGAGTGGATTGTATACCTTTTTGAAGTTCAAGCGGTTGGCTCGGAGGAGGAAAGTCCGTAGTAGGAGCAGGGTCCGATGCATGACATGAATCATCTGGGACTGGTGCTGGACGCGGACAACGATGATAAGTCAGGAGAGATGGCACTACAATGGGAGATGTAGAAGTAATCGTAGATTTCTCAAAAGTCGGTACAGGTAAAACCAGTGTTATGAAAGGCGCTCGCCTTTCGCCATTGGCAACAAGGCGAGGCGAGGCGAGGCGAGGGGAGGGGTCATCGCCTTTTTCCGGCGAGGCGAGGAGACTTCAAAAAGGCGTGCCATGGCGATAGAAAGGCGTAAGATGACGTGGTGTGGCGATGCAATAGGCATCGTCTTTTTATTTTTTTATGTTTTTTAAGGTCTGACTTAATAAATAAAAGCCAAAATTAGGGTTTTTTTGGGGTATTTTTGCAAACTTGACCTTCGCAAGACGCTCCTCCTCTTCTCCTCCTATTTCGCGATTGCTGCTCCTTCGTGGAGACTTCTTCTTCGCGAATCGCAATCGCGACTGCTGCTCCTTCTCAGGTACGAAATCTTATCTCTAGTTCTTCTCTTCTTCTCTGCTAGTTCTTCTCTTCTTCTCTTCTAGTTCTTCTCTTCTTCTCTACTCTCTAGTCTCTCCTCGGGGTTTTTTTTGGGTGGAACTACTCTGTTTTTCAGTATTTAGAGTTTGAGACTATGCTTGGTTCTGTACTTCTGTGGTATCACTGGGCTGGAATCTGCTTATATTTTAAAAAATAATAATTTAATCCTTCTATAATTATTTCTTCCCTACTTAATTTAGTTTTATACTAATTAATATAGTATTTATTTGTCCATAAATAGTGAATTCAATGACGTCATATGCTAACAAAAAGAGGGACATTGTTAATGAATGTTATTGTTATTGAGATTTTGGATATTTATATATGGAATTAAATAATTTACATTTTTTGTATTAATTGGCGCCTCAATTCAAAAAGGCGAGCGCCTTGCCGCTTGCCTCGCCGTGTGGCGAGGCAGGCTCTTGTCGCCTCTCGCCGTCCAAAACACTGGGTAAAACCTGAGGTATGGGTAAGACTTTAGATACATCAAGAATGATTAGAAGATGTACAGTAAGGATTAGATTCAAAGAATGTGACATTGGCGGACATAAGGTATCAATGAAGATCATGTGAATAGCAATGATACCCTTTTTGAACTTGAGAGTAACCAAGAAAAACACATTTGAGGGCACGAGGGGCCAATTTATCTTTTCCTGGGGCTAAGTTATGAATAAAACAATGCTCCCAAAGACACTAGGGGGGATAGAGTAGATATGTGATTGAGGAAATAGTATGGAATGTGGAACCTGATTCTGAATAGAGGATAAGGGCATCCTATTTATTAAATAACAAGACGTAAGGACTGCATCTCCCTAAAAATGCAGCGGAAGATGGGATTCAAGGAGAAGGGTACGAGCCATCTCAATGAGATGCCTATACTTCCTCCCTGCTACACCGTTCCGTTGAAGGGTGTATGGACAAGTAGTCCGGTGAATAATGCCTCGGTGAGTCATAAACTCCCGAATAGAAACACCTAACTGATTTTGTATTTCAGCAAAGAAACTTTTGAATATAGAAAATAACTCAGAACGATCTTTCATTAAGAAAACCCAAGTGCATATTGAATAATCATCAATAAAACTAAGAAAATAACGAAATCCTAAGGTTAAACCGACTCTACTAGGACCCCAAATATCATAATGAACTAATGAAAAAATATACTCTAAACGACCCTCAGTACTACGTGAAAATGCAGCACGAGTGTGTTTCCCAAGTTGACACGACTCACAATCTAATGTGGACAAACTAGACACCATCTTTTGTTGCTTGGATAAACTCGGATGTCCCAAAAATTTGTGGATTAGATCTGGAGGATCTGTAATGGAGCATGCTATGAAGGAATTTGAAGAGGTGAGATAGTAAAGGCCTTGTGATTCATGTCCTGTGCCAATCATTTGTCCCGTATTGCGGTCTTGCATGAGAAAAATTTATCAAAAAATGTTATGCTACAACGTAGGGCATGTGTCAAACTACTAACAGATGCCAGATTAAAAGGGAGAACTAGGGGCATAAAGAACAAAATCTAGAGTGACAGAAGATAGGGGTTTGGCTTTTCCAACCCCTTTTGGTTTTGTTTGGATCCCATTGGCTAAAGCGATAGGAGGAAGAGATTGTGAATAAACAATACCAGACCAAAGTGATTTGTTACTAGAAATATGATTAGAAGCGCCTGAGTCCATTACCCATGATCCAAGTGTACTAGACTGTGAAACACAAGCAAAAGAATTACCCACAACAGAAACATTAGGTTGAGCAACCGAAGCTACTTGCGGAGGTGTTTTTTGACTTGCTCGATACTGAAGGAACTCATCATATTCTGTCTGAGTAATAAGAGCATTATTGGATGGTTGATCAGGCTGAGGCTGAGCAACAGACGGTACTTATGGAGATATTTCAAAGGAATTCATTATATTCCTTTAGAGCAATAGGATCATAGCTGGGTGGTGGACCATGCAAAGTATAACATATGTCACGAGTGTGTCCAATTTAATGGCAATAACTACACTTGGATCGAGGTTTCCCAAAACGTCCTCCTCGCCAATTGTCCATAGACTTATATGTTTGTTTTTCTATAGTTTGAGATGCGAGAATAGATGAGTCAACTGTGGGTGATGAAACTACTTTGTGACTAGGAGGCACAACAAGATGAAGTAGACGAGAGAATAATTCATCAATTGTAGGAACCGTAGGACTGGCTAGAATCTGGTCACGCACATAATTATGTTCAGTAGGAAGTCCAACAAGTGTGAGAACTAGAAATAATGTCTATCTATGCTCTTGTTGCTTTTCCACGTTTGTAGTGACTGGCATCAAGGTTTCAAATTCCTCCATCACTACCTGTACCTGTCCCAAGTAAGTTAACATGTTGGATTCTTGTTTCTTTAAGTTGGTTATCCGAGATATCACATCATAGAATCGAGATATGTCATTAGTGTATAAAGCACGTGCTTTTTTCCAAACTAAATAACATGTCTGGAATGGGCAAAACAAGGTCATCAACTTTGAATCAATAGAGCGCCATAGGAGACTACATAATTGAGCATCCACTTTCTCCCATTGTGCTTTGGCTTTTGCATCCTCATCACTAGACTGTCTTTTCATCTACCACAAAAACATTGTTTGTTAAGTGATCTTGAACACCTTGACCCTTGCACCACAACTCAACTGAGGAAGCCTAAGCTAAATAGTTTGAACTTCCTATTAATGGTTCTGAAGTGATTATAGGGCTTTAACTTCCAATCCCCGTATTTTTGGTGCCAAAAACATCACAACCAAAGACATTTTTTCAAAATTTAACTCAAAAATAGGAAGAAACCTCTGGAAATTGTCGGAATCTGCCTACAGTGCTTGGAAACTGCCTGGAAATTCTGATTTTGCCGGGAACTTGCCGGAAACTGCTTGGAAATTGCCGGAATCCTAATTCCAGTGATCGGATCTGGAGAAAACTGGATGGGTTTGGATCGGAAATACTGGACCACCCCAACAGAAAAAAAAATAGTTCAAAAATAATGACCGGAGCAGCCCTCATGCGCCGGCGCGTGATCTAGATATCGCCGTAAAACTTCCACTTTCAAACGGCATGTGAGAGTGCGTGAGGGGTTGTTTTCCAGTGGTTCCGGCTGGGGTTTGGTCGCCTGAGATTCCCGAGCCTCTTGATGGTGTTGGTTTTCGCACAATACCTTCAGAATGAAAGATGACACAGATCAGCCCTAACCGTCACCAAAAATTTGACATGGTGACTTGAAGTTTCTCACCAATGCTCTGATATCATATGAGAAATATAGACTAGAATATTATTGAATTGTGTATCTAAATTGTTACATAAAGACCTTATTTATAGACACTACATTAGAATCCTTTTCCAACAAGGATTCCTATTCCTATTCTAACAGTTCTTAACATAATGACGGAAATAGCACTGATGAGCTGGAAAGATGAGTAATGGACCAGATCACAATAGAGCCACCCACTTATTTACCTCACATCTACTGCAGATTTTCAATTTCTTCTACTTCTGGGTATTGATTCAATGGAATTCAGTTGCGCAATTTGATTGATTTAAAACATTATTCTGCAAATAGTCTTCTGTTCCTAAATGACACAAGCAGACCATCTTGTGGCCAGGATGGGGTTCTTTACGTAGATGATCAGATGCATCTGTTGGATGCTACTTCATTTCTGTGGAGCATATTGCATAGATATTTCTATATGCCTTGTAAATGGAGTTCCCACCCCTCCATTTCATAATATGCAATTTAATTATTAAAAAAGATTGAGTGGAAGCCATTTTTATATAAATTGTTAGCAGTTTTCTTGTAATGATGGTGTTGTTAGTTCCCCTATCATCTGAGGATGTATTTCAAATTTCAACTGTGCATTGCTTTGGACGGGAGAAGAATTTAATCCTTTGGTTCTATGCCCTCTTCCTCCTCATTTCTCACTTGGGTCAGAATCAAAAGAAAATCTTTATTTTTCTTTCTTTTATCAGTTCTTTTGACAGTAGAGTGGTCTCTTCATGTTATAACTAACGGTACTTTTGTTCTGTTATCAGGTGTACTTTGAGCTTCAACATCATGCACCTCATGTAAAAAAGATCCTCGATGATCAGCATTCTCGATTATGTAAAGCACAGAAAAAGATTTTGGAAGTTGAAAGGAAACAGGAAAACATCGAGGATCGTGTTGAGCATGCAGTTCAGTTTCACGGTGAGCTAGAAGAGTGCTTGCAAAGCCTGAGACACCTGCCGGCAGCACATAAGAGATCTCTATCTAAAGCTGAACGCGAGTTTAAGTCTGAACTTGGTAATATGCTCATCGAATGCCAATGCTTGATGTAGTTTTATTTTGGTTTGTTGTGAACGCTAGCTCATCATGGTGTAGAAACTGATATAATGCACGTACATATGTCTAGTCTTTTGCATTTTTCCAACAGACTATTTTCACCACCTCTCTGGATGCTCTAGAACCAACCCCTAATGGAGACTGGCCTGTAAGCCCTAACAATGGCCAATGAGTTATTTGTATGTCTCTGATAGTTTCACCAAATTTCTTGTTTACACACCTTACAAGGGGCTTCAGGGTGGGGGTTCACTTTACCCACCTTAATTTGAAAATTCCTTAGCTAATACCCAACGATTTGGAAACATGAGAGACGTATGTTTCCAACTCTTTGATCGTGTTAAGAGCCTCAAATTTTAAAAATAAACTGAGGCAGAATCAACTGTCCAGATCAATTCAAATGATCCAACAGTCTATCTTTTTTATTCTATGATTTTTTTCTCTCCTTTTTTGAGTTTTTCATTCCCAGCACCTCCTCCTTCTCCACCTCCATCAAAACCACCACCGCCACCACTGGCAACACCCTTTGTTCTCGACTACCACACTGCTTTCAAGACCTCAACAATCCCACCTCAAACCAGTCTAGTGGAGTTGCTGGGGTCAGAGATGTTTGGCGGCATTTATGGTGGTCATGTCTTTTTTCTTTTGTGTCGAGCTGATGCCAGATGGTGGGTAGAGAGAGAAAATGTGAGTTGAGTGAAGAGAACATTGAGTTTGTGGGGGGATGGGGGTGGATTAAGGGGGGTGGTTAAAGTTGAAAATCGGTGGTCGTGTGAGGAGCTGTATAGATTTTTTTAATGGCTGAATGGGATGTTTTTGCTAGAATTGAGGGTGTACAGACAGATTGCGACTGGTGTTTTTCTTTTTCTTGTGGGTGGGGTCTGAAAGGAAGCGAGTGTTCTTATGTTGAAACAAATGGGGCGGGCGGTCCGTAGTGATGGTCAAATAGTGTCTCACTGTATGAGTGGCGTGTAATACTCATCCTGAGATAAAGTGGTCTGACGGGGGTGTTAGCTACATAATTTTGTTTATTAGGATAGTAAAAGGAATCTTATTCTTTTAGGGTTTAAACAGGAAAAAGGTGTAAGCTTGGGTGGAAAAGTATGTATTGAGTATTAATTTTTCTTCTGGCTTTAATCTTTGCGTATGGAACTGAACATTATGTTTTTACATAACACAGACAGATTTAGGGGAGTGGAGTTGGATGCTCTACGCTCTTCTATTGAAGCAGTAAATGCCAGGTTGAAAAGATACACACATTCTCTACAGGCCAACCGATCAAATGAAGAGCGACAAGTATCAGTAAGGAGAATAAGGCATGTCGAAGAAAATGAAATGTCACTGCTTAAAGCATCACTTGAAAAGCTGTCAGTCGTGAACAGTGAAAATGCAAAGAAGGTTAAAGTAGTTGAATCGGCGCTGAAAGGCCGTGAAATAGGCACTTGATGATCGTATGTTGATATTTGCTTGTGATGCACAAGTCAAAAGTTGTTGATACCCAACTTGATTGCCTTTGTGACTAGTAAGTGTGTTATTGCCAAAATTATATCATTCTCTTAACTGAAATTACGAGTCGAAGTAGGTTACTGGTGCAAAAGCAATTTGTATATGCAGACATCAATGACATGAGCATTGAAAGTAGCTTTAGGCCTTTTATTAATTTCCCCCAGATTATTCGTTTTTTATTTAAACCTAAGCACACCGTTTTAGGTTGATTTTTCATACATTTTATGCAGTTTTGAATTTGAACTAAAAAACCTCCATGAACTAGTCTGTAATCATCAACCACACTAAAAGCAAGTTTTGCAGAAAAAATACTAATAGAAAACCGTTATATTTATACTTTTTTGATATATTTGTCCATGTCACAAACTACAGTGAATTTGTCTAAAAGATAATAAGATAACAATTTTTTAAACCCTCTTTCTCCCTATCTCTATCTATCTATAAGTATGTCATTAGTGAGTAAACTTTCAACTAAATTATGACTTTGATATTTTGAAGATTTACGACAATCAGAAATTCATATAAAATATAAAATAAAGAGGAAATATAGAAAGAACATATGGAAAAAAAAAGTTAATAATGCAACATCATTTTTACGATCATAATCATTAAAAAATAAAAAGAAAAAAAAAATGAAATTAATGAACAATCTTCCGAGCTCTTGTTGACTCCACTCCCATAGACCAATCACAATTTAATAGCCTTCGTTAGGGGGTGTACATGACCGGGTTGGCTTGAGTTTTTCAATTATCAAATCAAACCATTTGTGTCGGATTTTTAAATCTATAAACCAAACCAAACCAATAAAACTCGGGTTTTTCAACCTCCGGTTTTTTCGGGCTTTTTGGATTTTTGGGTTTTTCCAGTAAAATATTCATACAAACATATAATTTACTTGTACTTCAAATATGTCTTTAATCCTACCAAAATACAACAACAACAACAACAACAATAATAATAATAATAATAATAATAATAATATATCAAATATGTAACTGCAAACAAGAATATGAAAAGTACGAAGTCCCCCCACCCCTAAAAAACAATTAAATATAAAAAACTGATTAACAAAAAAGTATCTATCTGCATGTATTGATATTTATTATCTATGTATTATCTATAAAAAAACAATTACTTACTATTTTGTTTTTAAAAAGATTTAAAAGTAATTTTCACAATAATAATAATAATAATATTAAATACGTAACTGAAAACAAAAAAAAAAAGATAAGTGACGAAGCCCCCCACCCCACCCCACCCCACTTGAAAACACAACATTTTAAATTTTAAATTTTAAATTTTAAATTGACTCTATTATGTTACCATTATTAATCATCATTTGAGACTCCTTTTTAATAAGTAACTTTCAGGATTTTTGAATTTCAAATAACCAATAAAAAAGTGCTATCTCTTTATTTATCTTTTTTGCTTTGTTATTTTTTAAACCGTCTCCTCTTAAAGAAAATAGATATAAACAAATACAAATTTAATTTTTCGTCTAAGGTTCTTCACAAATCTGGAGAGATGACACAGGGAGAGCACTTCACTTTGGGATGGTGAATTTTCTGATTCTTTTTTATGTACATTATTTTCTTTGTATTATATATAAGACAATGCATATTATTTCATCCATTTTCTGACAGGCTTCATGAGGAAGCATAACAAAATCTATTTGTTCAATAAGATGTTTTTATTGAGGGAAAAAAAAGAAAAAAAAAAAGAGGAAAGTATTATTATTTAATATCACTTTAAATTTTCATTATATCTTAATCATATTTTTTGTTAAATCTTATTCTCTCCATTTTTCAAAAATTTAAATTATAATACATATTTTAAAAAATCCATATGCAACACTACAAGCAATAACTTTTTTGGCATAAAATCTACTAAGTGGCTTATAATTTATTTATTTTCAAAATTTATGTAGGTGTGTTGAATTACAGATGGCAGAATTGGTGCATTACTATTGGTCAGTTTAAAAGTTTGTTAGAGTTTGTTAGGAAGTGACAGCTCAGCTAGAATGTTCACGTGGTTAGCACTCCTATTAGTTACAATGACTATAATCCTCTATATATATGAGGCAGCTGTGTAAATGTAAGGCAAGAAAAAGATGTAAGATTCATTTCTGTTTTAAGATCTAAAATGCAATACAATATGCTTCAATAGAATGCCGTTTTCATTTTCTTCTTCCTGTAGATTTCACAAATTCTTTATGGTATCAGAGCCCTGATCGAAGGGATACTTAGAGCTGTGAATTGTCGATTAGTGCAGCTACAACAATGGTGGAACCACAGAGTTCAGATATAGAGGATAATTCGCAGACAAACCATAATCATCCACTTCATCTTCAAACCTCAGATACTCCTGGTGTTGCCTTGATTCCTATGAAGCTCACAGGACCAGAAAACTATGGAGTTTGGAGCAGATCCATGCGATTGGCACTTCTAGTCAAAAACAAACTAGGATTTGTTGATGGCACATGTGCTAAAAGCTCATACAAAGGAGATCTGGCAATTCGATGGGAGAGGTGTGATGCAGTTGTATTATCGTGGATTAGTGCAGCTGTAGCACCAGAACTGATGACGAGCATTGTATATGCTTCTAGTTCGAAGAAAATATGGAGTGATTTCAAGGAGAGATTTGATAAATCGAATTTGACTAGAATTTTTCATTTGTGGAAGGAGATCAGTGTATTGACTCAAGGAACAAAGACTGTGACCTCTTATTATTCTAGGATGAGAGATTTATGGGATGAGATGGATGTAATGGTACCTTCTCCATCGTGTGATTGTGAAGAGTCAAGCTCACATGTTGAACATGTTAAACAACAAAGACTGTTGCAGTTTTTGGTAGGGCTAAATGAAAGCTATGCACAGGTGAGGAGTTCTATCTTACTCAGTTCTTCTATTCCCAGTGTAAACCAAGCCTATGCAATGGCAATTCAGGAAGAGAGTCAAAGGAAGCTAGACAGTCCGAAGGAGGAAAGGAACCATTCACAATGATGGCAGGAAAAGGTAATCAGTCATACAATTTCAACAATCAGAATCAGATCAACAACAAAGGTAATCAGTCATACAATTTCAACAATCAGAATCAGATCAACAACAAAGGTAATCAGTCATACAATTTCAACAATCAGAATCAGATCAACAACAAAGGTAATCAGTCATACAATTTCAACAATCAGAATCAGATCAACAACAAAGGTAATCAGTCATACAATTTCAACAATCAGAATCAGATCAACAACAAAGGTAATCAGTCATACAATTTCAACAATCAGAATCGGATCAACAACAACAACTTTCAAGCTAAGAAAACACAGGGTCAGACTTCACAAGGCAGAAGATTGGGATTGGTATATGATCACTGTGGGTATAAAGGTCACACTAAAGACAATTGCTACAGAATTGTGGGATTTCCTGCTGATTTTAAGAGTAAAAGGAAGGTGTCAGTGAATGAGGCCTATGCAAACACTTCTACTTCTCTGGAATCAAATAAGGGTGAAACTGAAGCACCTAGATCGGAATCATTATCTCAGATCTATTTCCCATGAGGTTATTTCACAAAGGAACAATATGAGCAAGTTGTCAAGATGATGGAGTCTCCTTCGCCATCAGGAACCTGTAGGGCTAATGCAGCAGCAGGTATGAATCCTTTGCCTGTAAGTGCTAATGGTCATACAGTAAAGTGGATTATTGATTCCGGAGCCACACATCATATTACATACTGTGAGAATCTGCTAAGTGATTGTAGAAAATTATCAGAGTCCAGTAGTAATAAGGTGCAGGTACTAACAAGAAGTAAAATTCATGTTGAACATGTTGGCAATGCTGTGATTTTAGAGAATTGCAGGTTGAAAAATGTTTTGCATGTCCCAGACTTCAGGTTCAACTTATTGTCAGTCTCCAAGCTGACTAAAGACCTGAAATGCATGGTGTCATTTTATCCTGATTTATGTGTAATGCAGGCTCTCTCTACTGGAGAGGTGATTGGGATTGGTAAAGAGGAGGAAGGCTTATACATCCTAAGGCATGATGCCATACCTACTGTTGGAGCAGTGCTAAAAAACAACTGCATAGAAGACCATAGACTTTGGCACCTTAGGTTGGGGCATCCTTCCTTGAAAGTAATGCAACACCTTCCTATGTTGCAGAATAAAGTTGATGAGGCAGTGCAAGAAGAGTGCATGGTTTGCCCTTTGGCAAAACAATGTAGGCTTAAATTTCCTTCTAGTGTTACTCAGACTTCAAAAATGTTTGAACTAGTGCATTTAGATGTTTGGGGACCTCATAGGGATCCTACTTATGATAGAAAATACTATTTTCTGACTGTTGTTGATGATTTTAGTAGATTTACATGGATCTCTTTACTGCACACTAAGAAAGATGTAGTAGTTGTATTGCGAAGCTTTATATCCATGATTTGTAATCAGTTTGATTGTGTAATAAAGGTTTTGAGATCTGACAATGGGACTGAATTCTTTAACAATCAAGTCAATGATTTGCTATCTTCCTTAGGCATCCTACATCAAAGTAGTTGTCCTTACACCCCACAACAAAATGGCATTGTGGAAAGAAAACATAGACACATTTTGGACATAGGAAGAGCCTTAAAGATACAATCTCATGTTCCTAGTAGATTTTGGGGTGAGTGCATCCAAACTGCAGTATACCTAATTAACAGATTGCCTACAGCTGTACTTGAGGGTCATTCTCCTTATGAAAGACTATTTGGAAAACCTCCTACATTGGATCACATCAGAGTATTTGGGTGTTTATGTTTTGTTGCTGCATTGCCTAGGGGTGGAAAGTTTGAAGCTAGAGCAAAGAGAGCTGTTCTGTTGGGTTTTTCTTCTACACAAAAAAGTTATAAGCTATATGATCTTGATGCAAAGGTTGTGTCTATCAGCAGGGATGTTGTTTTCAGAGAAGAAGTATTCCCCTTTAAGGTTATGCAGCCTCCTGATGAAGGTCCATATCCTTTGTTTTCCCCATTTCTCAATAATACAGATGATGCCCCTGATGATCTAGATCAAGTCATCACACCAGATTCTTCATCACAACCTGCAGACACAAGAATTGAAGTGCCAGCAGTCCATGTGTTGAGTCCACTATGCCTGTTAATGATAACTTAGAAGACATCCAAGATGAGCCTCATGCGCCTGATACTGTAGAATCAGTACAAACAGACACCATTGGTTCAAGAAAGACTACCAGGACTTGCAAGCCTCCTGTGTGGATCAAAGACTATGTAGTTCCTACAAAGTCCAGCCCTCACTCCATCACTAATCATGTTTGTTATGATAATGTATCCACAGGTTATCAATCTTACTTACATGCTTTTTCAGCAATTGTGGAGCCCCAATCTTTTAAAGAAGCATCTCAAGACAAGCTGTGGATTGATGCCATGCAGCAAGAAATCCAGGCTTTAGAGGATAACAATACTTGGACAATTGTTGACTTACCACCTGGTGGGAGAGCAATTGGTTCAAAATGGGTATACAAGATCAAGTACAAGTCCAATGGTGATGTGGATAGATATAAGGCAAGGCTAGTTGCAAAAGGGTACACTCAAAGGGAAGGTCTTGATTATCAAGACACTTTCTCACCAGTTGCTAAAATGGTTACCATTAGGACTGTTCTTAGCCTAGCAGCTTCTCATGGTTGGGATTTGTTTCAAATGGATGTAAATAATGCTTTCTTGCAAGGTGATTTACTTGAAGACATCTATATGGAACTTCCTCTTGGCTTCCAATCACAAGGGGGATCTAAAGTGTACAAGCTGAGGAAGTCACTATATGGTCTTAAACAAGCATCTAGACAATGGAACATCCAGTTAACTGAGGCGTTATTATTGGCAGGATACTCACAGAGTGCTCATGATCACTCTTTGTTCATTAGAAAGGAAGGAACTGACATGGCAGTGATTCTAGTGTATGTTGATGATCTCTTAATAACTGGGAATAGTTCCAAGATGATTCAAGAAGCAAAAGACACATTACATCAAAATTTCAAAATGAAGGACTTGGGAAGTCTCAGATATTTTTTGGGGATTGAAGTTTTGAAGTCAAAAGAAGGATTATTGTTGAATCAAAGGAAGTATGCTTTACAACTTATTTCAGAAACTGTACTGAGTGGAGCAAAGACTGTAAAAACTCCTTTGGAATTTAATCACAAATTGACTAGTGTAGAATTTGATCAACACATTGGTGGTTCTGATGATTCAGAGGTAGAGGATGTTACAGCATACCAAAGACTAATTGGTAAACTGTTGTACTTAACAATCACCAGACCTGACATTTGTTTTAGTGTACAGGTTCTGAGCCAGTTCATGCAACACCCTAAGGTTTCTCACTGGGAGGCTGCACTAAGGGTTGTGAGATATGTCAAAAGATCTCCAGGACTTGGGATAATGCTCAAAAGAGGGACTGGTGTTACAAAACTCACTGGATACTGTGATTCTGACTGGGCTTCATGCCCCAACACACGAAGATCTGTCACAGGTTACATGGTAAAACTTGGAGATTCTCTTATTTCATGAAAGTCGAAGAAGCAGCAAACAGTAAGCAGGAGCTCAGCTGAAGCAGAGTATAGGAGTTTGGCAGCTCTTGTTGCAGAACTGATCTGGTTAGCAGGATTACTAGATGAGTTACAATTCCCAGTTGACATCCCAATCTCAGTGTTTACGGATAGCAAATCAGCTATACAAATAGCTGAAAATCCAGTGTTTCATGAACGTACAAAACACATAGACATTGATTGTCATTTCATTCGGGAGAAAGTGAAATCAGGCTTCATAGATCTTGAACATTTGTGCACTACTATGCAACCAGCAGACATTCTCACAAAAGGGTTAGGTGCTGCTCAACATCATCTCCTTATGACCAAACTTGGTGTGTTAGATATCTTCCACCCTTCAGTTTGAGGGGGTGTGTTGAATTACAGATGGCAGAATTGGTGCATTACTATTGGTCAGTTTAAAAGTTTGTTAGAGTTTGTTAGGAAGTGACAGCTCAGCTAGAATGTTCACGTGGTTAGCACTCCTATTAGTTACAATGACTATAATCCTCTATATATATGAGGCAGCTGTGTAAATGTAAGGCAAGAAAAAGATGTAAGATTCATTTCAGTTTTAAGATCTAAAATGCAATACAAGATGCTTCAATAGAATGCAGTTTTCACTTTCTTCTTCCTGTAGATTTCACAAATTCTTTATGGTATCAAAGCCCTGATCGAAGGGATACTTAGAGCTGTGAATTGTCGATTAGTGCAGCTACAACAATGGTGGAACCACAGAGTTCAGATACAGAGGAGAAATCATGAAATGCTTGACTTTCTTTTGATTACACATATGTGTTCAAGGCTCATATCGACAAGAGGTTTAAGATGTCAAACCTTCGAGAAATGCTTTGTCGGGAAGGTAAAGACTAAATAACTCCAATCTTAATATGTATAGATTTTTTTCATATATATAAAATAAAAATTTAATCAATAAATTCCTAATTTTCATCATATGTAATTGTGATGGTAATTATTAAGTAATTTGAATTTATTTTTGACTTATGAGAAGAGTTCTAATTCTTTTGTAATAATTTTCACAAAAGTTATCAAAATTAAATGCATTATAATAGAATATTCCTTGCGATTTTGATATATTGTAATGCTATTCATTGGTCAATTGAAAATTAACTTTGCTATCATTACACTAAGAAAATATATAAAGTGCATAACACAAATATAATGTGATGCTATTTATTGATTAATTTATTTGACCAATAATATAAAGTTAATAAATAATATTAAATAATTGAAATAATAGATAACGTAATAACGATATGCAAAAAATATTTTTTTATAATAATCAAAGGTTATGCATATGACCTTGCAAAAATATTAGTATAATTAGTAAATATAATGATGTATTTAGAAAAACAAACTTTAAATAAGGATTATTCCATTCCAAGTGGTACTCTAATAATTTAAGGATTATTCCATTCCAAGTGGTAGTCTAATAGCAAGGCACTTGGTAGTTTTAGAACAAGACTAAAACAAAACAAAAAAATTAATAAATTTTATAATTAAAAATTAATTTTAAAATGTCATGAGAAAAAAGAAAGAAGAATAAAACGTTAATAAATGGATAGTTAAAATACATATGTAAAATTAAAAAAGAAGAAGAAGACAAATATCGAGAAAAAAAAAAAACTAACCCAATTTATCCCTAAAATTTCTCACCAATTTACCTATTTCTGTCTGTGTGAGATCAACATAAATGTTTTTGAACTATCTTTTATTAAAAAGAATAAATTTAAAATATTATGAATCCCTATTTTGCAAAATAGTGCCACATGTTACCATCAAGATAATTCACGATTTTTCAGTTTGAATATTTTTTTAAAAAAATTATCTTCAAAAAATAATAATTTTATAAATAATTATGTAAAAAAAATTCAAATAAAATTGACAAAAACACAAATTGAAATTTATTTATTATTAATAATTTGCAGATTTTCTAAAAAAATAAATTTATTAATTAAAAAAATACTAACAAATT